ATATTACACAAACGTGCAATAATTAAATATATTAAATTACACAAATATACTTTATGTTAATCTCACTTTATTAACCAATGTCTTTGTTGCTGACCTTCGATGATCCAATTCAACCATAATAATAAGCAAAAATAACTTTAAATAATTATCACATTTATTTTTTTGCTGAAGTAAGCAAGTTTTTTTTTTTATGCACCGTCTACTGTTCAGGCGTGAATTTGCATTTCTTTCAGCCTGAGGCTTATTAAAAAAAAAAACCAAGCAAGCCCAGCCCAGGTGAGTAACGCAAATGTAATGTAACTCATTACCTTCCATAAAAAATAACTACTTAACGCAATTAATTACTTTTTTAGGGAGTAATGCATAACTTTTAAGTAACTGACACTGGCCCAACATTTTACATGCTCTCACTAATTGTTTTAATATCTATGGTATGAAGAAAGTATGGAAATGCTTATCTCTGCTGTGTTGTCATGAGCTTAAATGAGTATTCTGGTTCTCTTATGAGAGGTTCTCTCGTATTGCGTAAGTTTAGCTTACGCTACGGGAAAGATTCATCTTCTCGAGATATTGAAGCCAAAAAAATTATCCTTAATTTTGTATTCATTGTCAACGCAGTGCAGCAGCTAGCAGACCTAGAGCAGGCAGTCTTGCGTGCTCATTGGCTGCCCCCAGGGCATCTGCTGCAGCCTACCAGTGAGCCCCGCGTGACGTCACGGCCAATGAAGGGCGCCCGCGCCTTCATAGCGTCATAGCCCGCCAGAATGGGCGTGGCTTAGCGTATAAAAGAAGGGGCTGTAGGCTGAATTCCCTGATTTTCGTCTCTTCAGCGAAGCCCTTCGCATCGCTGGATCTGAGAGAAGCCACCGCCGCCTATCCTAGATCTGAGACATTTGAACAAGGTGCTAGCAAAAATACAGTTCAAAATGCTTACGACCAGAAAAATCCTCGCGCGCGTTCGCCCGAGGGACTGGTTTATTTCTCTAGATCTGAAGGATGCCTATTTTCAGATTCAGATATTACCCCGTCACAGGCAATTTTTGAGATTCGCCTTCGACGGTCAGGTATATCAATACACCGTCCTGCCGTTCGGCCTGCCTCTAGCACCCCGTACATTTACGAAGTGCATGGACGTGGCACTCGCCCCCCTGAGAACTCAGGGGCTGCGAATAATGAACTATCTGGACGATTGGCTGATATTGGCACAGTCAGATACGGAACTGTTATCTCACAGAACAGTGCTTCTCAGTCACCTGGAAAGCTTGGGTCTCACGGTCAACTGGACCAAGAGCTCATTAATGCCCAGTCAGTCAATTTCCTTTTTAGGAATAGAACTGAATTCTGTGGCCATGACGGCTCGTTTGTCGACACAGCGCGCGCGCCGTGTTCGCCACCTAGCCGCGTCTTTCCAGAAGGGCAGCCTTCTCCCTTTGAAAACGTTTCAAAGGATGCTGGGCTGTATGGCTTCAGCGGCAGCGGTGCTCCAGCTGGGCCTACTGCGCATGCGCCCGCTCCAACGCTGGTTGAATGCTCGCGCGTCTCGCCGAGCCTGGGTTTCTGGCGGCCAGAAAATCAGAGTGACTCAGACCTGCATAGCGGCTCTGCAGCCCTGGTTAATAGCCGACTGGTACCAGCAGGGAGTGATGATGGGAACCATCTCTTATCGGAAAGTCATTTCGACAGACGCGTCCAGCTCGGGTTGGGGCGCGCTGTTCGAGGGCAGACCGGCCTTTGGCCAGTGGTCAGACCAAGGGAAGTATTTTCACATAAACTGTCTGGAGATGATAGCGGTCGAGAATGCGCTGAAGCGCTTCCTCCCGTTCATACAGGACCAACATGTTCTCGTCCGCTCGGACAACATGTCTGTGGTTTCCTATGTAAACCGTCAGGGCGGTGTCAGATCCAGAAACCTCTGCAATCTGACGGAACGCATCCTTATTTGGTCCCAGACGCACCTGCGCTCGCTGAGGGCGGCGCACGTGCCTGGCCATTTGAACGACGTTCCCCCAGGGGAATGGTCCCTGCACCCCCAAACAGTCCAGAAACTGTGGCGCCTATTCGGCAGAGCGGAAGTTGACCTATTTGCGTCAAAAGACAACGCTCCTTGCCCGATGTTCTTTTCGAAGAACGAGGACGCGCTGGCCCAGGTCTGGCCCAGCCTCCCACTGTATGCTTTCCCTCCGGTCTCCCTGTTACCACAGGTGATCAAGAGAATCAGGGAAACGCGCCACTCGGTGCTCCTCATAGCTCCGCACTGGGAGAATCAGAATTGGTTCCCGGAACTAGCACGGCTATCACATGCAGGTCCGTGGCCTATTCCGGTGAGGGCAGATCTCCTCTCTCAGGCTCGTGGCTCGATCTGGCATCCCCATCCAGAGCGCTGGTCTCTGCACGCATGGTTGATCAACGGGTACTCGTTGCCCTGCCAGAAAGAGTGATGAATACGATCACGCAGTCTAGAGCTCCTTCCACGAGAAGGCTCTACGCGTCTAAATGGTCGGTGTTCTCCAAGTGGTGCACCGACAGAGATCTGGACCCGCGGACGTGTGAGGTTGCGCATCTGCTCACTTTCCTACAAGAGCTGATGGATAAAGGGAGGTCCCCATCCACGCTCAAAGTTTATGTGGCGGCCGTGGCGGCGTTCGCAGAATCGACGCACAGCCAGTCACTGGGAAGACATGAGCTGGTCATCTGCTTCCTTAGGGGAGCAAGAAGGATGAATCCGCCGCGGCCCCTGTCGGTTCCTATGTGGGATCTTTCCTTGGTCCTCGAGGCCCTGAAAGCCTTCCCATTTGAGCCACTAGACTGTGGAGTTAAAATACCTATCACTAAAAAACGTTTTTCTGACCGCGCTGTCATCAGTCAAACGTGTGGGGGACCTGCACGCGCTGTCAATAAGCGCGACGTGTCTTGAGTTCGGGCCGAATGACTCTAAAGTCATCCTCAAACCTAGACATGGCTATGTTCCAAAAGTGATGGGTACTCCTTTCAAGTCATTTCACTGTCGGCTCTGCCAGCGTCAGACAGTGAGACAGACGTGAATCTCCTTTGCCCGGTCAGGGCGCTGAGGTTTTACACTACGCGCTCCGCCTCTTTCAGGCGCACGGGGCAGCTGTTTGTTTCGTTTGGTGGGCGCACCAAAGGTCTCGCTGCCTCGAAACAGACTCTGTCCAGATGGATAGTGGACGCTATAGCGGCCGCTTACACATCAAAAGATCTGCAATGCCCTCTGGGCTCATTCCACTGGAGGCATGGCCTCATCGTGGGCGTGGTCCAGTGGGATTTCTATCCACGACATATGTGTAGCGGCGGGCTGGAGCTCCCCGTCTACCTTTGTCAGGTTCTATAACCTAGAAGTTCCTGCCCTGCAGGCTAAACTTCTGTCAGTCTAAGCGAGTTGTGCGTTCTGCCCAGATATCATGCTCAGACCACTCTCACGTGACTCAGCTCTCCTGGTTGAGCTGCACTAGTAGGGATGTGCTATATGCTTATACAGACCAGTGCTCTGCTCTGTATTTCCTATGTGTGCTTATGTACGAGTGATGGCCCGCATGGCTGGTCACCTTATTTTTTCCACTTATTGGGTTCCCCGAGAAACCTCGGCGACTCATGGGTGGTTGCTTGGCGCGCACGGCGTTGACAAAAAGTTCCCGTAGCGTAAGCTAAACTTACGCAATACGAGAGAACCTCTCGTAAGAGAACGTACTCGGTTACTAACGTAACCTCGGTTCTCTCTAGAGAGGGAACGAGTATTGCGTAACCGTCCGTGCTCGCGCCACGAGCGACTTCGCTTCAGTCGACGAAAACCAGGGAATTCAGCCTACAGCCCCTTCTTTTATACGCTAAGCCACGCCCATTCTGGCGGGCTATGACGCTATGAAGGCGCGGGCGCCCTTCATTGGGCGTGACGTCACGCGGGGCTCACTGGTAGGCTGCAGCAGATGCCCTGGGGGCAGCCAATGAGCACGCAAGACTGCCTGCTCTAGGTCTGCTAGCTGCTGCACTGCGTTGACAATGAATACAAAATTAAGGATAATTTTTTGGCTTCAATATCTCGAGAAGATGAATCTTTCCCGTAGCGTAAGCTAAACTTGCGCAATACGAGAGAACCTCTCGTTAGAGAACCGAGTACGTTTTATAGCCTACAAGTTGGAGCATTTGACTTTCAACCTGACCTCAATTTCTTCAAAAAAAGGCACTGTGGAAGTGAATAGACCCATTTTTTGGAGGATTTAAAAGCATAAATGTGAAACTTATAATTATATAAAAGCTTCTGTTAAAACTTAAAACATTTTTTGAGCTGTAAAGCTGTTTAATCATAATTTTAATAAGAATTTTACAGGTTTTTGGTGTTCTGTTTCAATGCAAATAAAACTATGTAATTTTACACAAAATAGGGACACTTTCACACAAAAATCATGTTGACACACAATGTGATTTTTGTGTGAAAGTGTTCTTTTTTGGCTATACTGTTGAAGCAATTATTGTAACATTTACATATTGGCCCCATTCACTTCCATTGTAAGTGCCTCACTGTAACCCATATTTGTCCCTTATTTATTTATTTTTTAGAGAAAAGAAGGGTCAAGTGAAAATGTATTTTCCCTATGGTAATCAACAAATACACGCAATTGAGCTTAACGTCCATTGAACCTGGAATATTCCTTTAAAAAGATGAAATATCCAACCGGTGTCTCAACTCAAGTGAACAATATTGCAATCACTTGTTAAGATGCATGCTACGATTTAACTTATTCAGGCTTCTTCAAGGCTTGTTTGTCCTTCATCACAGCATAAGAATAACATACTGTTTATTGCCAGAATCAGGCTTTTCACTGTTTTACCCCTTTAAATAAGCTTGCAACCTTCAGGTACCTCATTGCCATGGGAACTGCTGTAGACAATGAAATGAAGGCTGCACATTCAACTGTGTGTCCTTAGAAACTGACCTACGCTTGTGAATCTTCAACCTTTTCTCCTTTTCATCTCTTTCTCCCCAGGAAATATTGCAGTGCTATGGTGCACTTGTTACACCAATGTCTTCAAGTCTGTCACAAATCTCTTCATCAAGAACCTGGCGTTTTCTGGCATTTGTGCTGGGTTGGTGTGTGTGCCCTTTGACATAGCCCTGAATGCCAGCCCCCTCTGCTGCCTCTGGGTTCACACACTCCTGCTTTGCAAAACCATCAAGTTCCTACACAGACTTTTCTGCTCCGCCACTGTGCTAAGCTTCGCTGTCATTGCCCTGGACAGGTGAGTGGATACACATTTATACATCTTTTGCTTTTAACTGAAGTGTAATTGTCTCAGCTTTGAGGTCACTATAATTCAGCCTCAACCAAACAATCATTAAAACAATTGGTTAAGATGATAATAGGGTAAAATATCTTGTGAAAAAAATCTGGAAACCCTTACAGTTGTACTCAACCCATGGGCACCAGCTGTTTCACAGACTAGTGCTTCCATAGCAACATACTCTGCCAGACCCTTTATCAATTCATTGAATAATTTATTTTGCTTAGCACAGAAGCCTTTCTTGATACCAGCATTTTTTCACTTCAGAAAAAAATTCATAGACACACCATGCCGACACGAATCGCATAATAAAAAATACTGATATCCATATTTGTTTTGATTTCTTTTGTATTTTCTGAGATTCCAGTTATGAATCAATAAAATACATCCACTATGTTTTTGCACACACATAAGGCATTTTAACTGTGATATTATAATAAACAATTTAGTCATTTAAACAGTATAAAGGTTATGTAATTGGGGCAACTAGGGCTGGGAGCTGACAAGCGATTTTAATTCAAAATCAGAACCAAAAAATAAATTTAGTCCAATTCCCAAACGGTTGACTCTTATTATGGAAGCTTATGTGTAGCAATATTCAATTTGAAATGTAATATGCAAAATGATAATTAAATATGTAAAATGACAATGCAATATGTAAAATGGCAATGCATTTCTGTATTTAAATTTACATTTTCCATTACATTTGTGCAACGTTTGGTGCAAAATGAAAATGATAATTCAATTATATAATTTACATTTGCCATTTCATACATATGTTTTAATATGTAAATTGAATACACATTTTAACGCTTTATAAGTTGCGAAATTAAAATGAAAATTTATTAAAGAAATTTTTAGATCTGTTTAAAATGTTCAAGCAAAAACTGTAGCAAAATGATCATTTAAATGTTATTTTTCTTAATTGCATTTACACTCTCAGTTAAGACACTTGCGATTGCATTTTCATTAAATGTCCCGCAATGAATGTAGCAAAATTCAATGTGCAAATTGAAAATGCATTCCAAGCCGATCACGCCCCTGCCCCGCCCCCTCCCTCCCGCTCGCTCTTGTCAATTACTGCGTCAAGGCGGGGCTCGGCAACATTTTGAGGTGTTGGAAGGAAACATGGCGGCGGCAGAGCTGATACGAGCGTAAATTTACTGGCAGATGAAGGGAAGCGTGAACAGAGAAATTGTAGTGTTTCCGAGGATTATTACGCGTTTGCAGGTGATACCAGTGCATTGTTGGACCGTGTGGGAGAATGTTCTGCCTTATCAGTAGGGTAGAGTGGGGGAAAACGCCCCCCTTAAGGAAAATGTGACATTACTGTGAAACAAAACATTTATGTGACTAGAATTGCCATCCCAGTTTTGAGTGACTATGGCAGGAGAATATTACTAAATATTAAAATTGCTCAACCTGCATAATTATATATATTTTTTGACTGAAAATATTTTTGTACAAAGGGGGCGTTTTGCCCCAGCGGTGGGGTAAAACGCCCCCCAAGGTGGGGTAAAACGCCCCCTTTCTTACCAACCAGTTTGCTTCATAGATCAACAGCAAAATAAACATAGTTTTTAATCTCTAAAAGTAAAAGGCAAGTAATGCAACAACATGTATATATACCTATTAATATTTATTTCAGGAATGTACAAAATAGCCAAATTTCTAACATTTTAATATTTTGATTTCTACACTAGGCCTATATGGGGTTGATAATTGATGTAGTATTTGTTCACCACTATCATCAAGAAAAACAGAAAACCCTAAATAAATATTAAACATAAATTAGTATATTTAAAGTGAAATATATTCAATAAATGCTCTAAAAGTCACTATATTTTATCATTGGGTCACATCCACCTTCCATCATTGCATCCACCAAGCTAGCTAGCTAATGCTCACTTGAGGTAATTTTATCATGTTTTGTTAAAATATTTTGATTTTATCGCCTAGTTATACTGCATTAAAGTGTAAAATAAAGACTTTGATAAACAGAAATATGTTACTATAGTAATTATGATAAAGAGAAACTATGCCCCTTGGGGGGCGTTTTACCCCTCAGCATAGGGGGCATTTTACCCCACAAGCTATGTTTTGTTTTTTAATTGTTTATTTTTAAAAATATAATTATATTCCTTATAAATAACATATGCTCTCAAACTACAGACTTCACTATTCATCTATCATACATTACTGTGATATCACTGTGAACAATATTCTATAAAACACTTGTTTACTAATATCTGAACATTATAGCATTTTCCATGTAATCCTCTTCTCTTCAAATACGTCGCTGGTGTCAGCTTCTCCATGGAGATTTGTATATCCCCGTTGTCAACGTAGTGCATAGCAATAGTAAAAATGTATCTTGATTCATTCTAGTGGTTATTTTGGGAAAAACGGGTGGGGGGCATTTTACCCCAGGGGGGCATTTTCCCCCACTCTACCCTATCACCCGTTTGATGTCAACATTATGCTGCGCTGTTGTTGTCTGATGCAGGACTCTGTTAATGATTGTTTCGTTTTGTATTAAATATTCTCATTGTCTGATACACATATGCTTAACTTTATTCTTATTACTATTAACTATAATTACCCAATAATGTTGGAGATCCTACAGGTTTTCTTTACAAATGCACCTACTCTGAGATCACAGAATATGATGGGTCAAATTCAGCTCTTCCAAAAAATTTAACCGCTCTTTATTTCTTCATAACTGACTGTAATGTTCAATAAAGTGTCTCATGTGATGTTTAACCATCTCCCTTTTCTATTTTATAAAGCATATTGATCAGATATTTATAAATACTGTATATAGGGTCATCACGGAATCTGACGGGTTTTGATGCCATCGTCTATAATTGGTCTAATATTTTAAAAACCGAAGCCGCACAACCGGCACAAACGAACGAGACTATTTTATTTGGAGGATGTGGGGGGCTGGGTGACCTCAGAATGACCTATAAATATTCTTTAAATATCTTAAAAATCGAAGCAGAACAAACAATAAAGCAAAGTAACAGCACAAATGAAGTAAAAACGATTGAGCCAATTTTGCCGACGTTTTGCATTGGGTGGGGGCGGGGCCAACTTCACACAGTGATTGACAAGAGTGAGCGGGAGGGAGGGTGCGGGGCAGGGGCGTGATCGGCTCGGAATGCATTTTCAATTTGCACATTGAATTTTGCTACATTCATTGCGGGACATTTAATGAAAATGCAATCGCAAGTGTCTTAACTGTGAATGTAAATGCAATTAAGAAAAATAACATTTAAATGATCATTTTGCTACAGTTTTTGCTTGAACATTTTAAACAGATCTAATAATTTCTTTAATACATTTTCATTTTAATTTTGCAACTTATAAAGCGTTAAAATATGTATTCAATTTACATATTAAAACATATGTATGAAATGGCAAATGTAAATTATATAATTGAATTATCATTTTAATTTTTCACCAAACGTTGCACAAATGTAATGGAAAATGTTAATTTAAATACAGAAATGCATTTCCATTTTACATATTGCATTGTCATTCTACATATTGCATTATCATTTTGCATATTACATTTCAAATTGAATATTGCTACACATAAGCTTCCATATCTTATGAGTCAGTACTTTTTAGTGATCAAATCAAATAAAAACTCTTCAGCACGACCAACCGATTTCCGAACGAACCATTCTTTTACAGAATGAACCGATTATTTTTAGCAAATCAAACGTATAGTTTACTATTGTATTATAATGCTTGTGAGACCTAATATTGCTACAGATTGGTTAATATGTGTAGCTAATTTAATCAGATGTGGTTTACATGCTCAACAAAATCCGATCATTTCAAGAGGATGGATATGTATATGAAACAACTAGGGCAGGGAACCAACAAGCGATTCTAATTTAGAACCAGTTTCATAATAAAAATAAAAAAACACCAACTGTGTGAACGGGGGTTCTCCACGCAGATTGCGTTGTGTTGACTAACAGAAAGATAGACAATGGACCTTTTTTGTCTGCAAATTGTAATCCTCTCTTTCGCTTCCAGGTACTACTCAGTGTTGTATCCGCTGGAGAGAAAGATATCAGATGCCAAATCCAGAGACCTGGTCATTTACATCTGGGTGCATGCCGTGGTGGCCAGTGTCCCTGTTTTCGCCATAAGCAATGTGACGGATGTCTACGCCACCTTATCTTGTTCTGACGGCCAATCGTTTGGACATCTGGTTTACATGGTCACATACAGCATCACCACGCTTATTTTACCACTAGCAGTGGTGTTTCTAGCCATGGCACTAATCCGCCGTGCACTAAGCAGCAGCCAGAAGAAGAAAGTGATCATTGCAGCGCTGCGTACCCCTCAGAACAGCATTTCCATTCCGTATGTGTCTCAGCGTGAGTCTGAACTTCATGCCACTCTGTTGTCCATCGTCCTAGTCTTTGCACTCTGCAGCACTCCCTACGCCGCTCTGGTGATATACCGTGCAGTGCTGGGGGCTGCAAAAGCCTCGTCTTGGTTACAACTGACTGCTGTGTGGCTGCCAAAGGTCTCTCTCCTCACCAACCCACTGTTTCTCCTCACAGTAAACCGCTCTGTGCGACGTTGCCTTCTCGATATGCTAGCACGGTTGCACCGACGCTATAGCCGAAGGAACATGGTCAGCATTGGAGGTCTGGCTGAGGTAGGGCCACTAGGGAGCGAGACTGTGGTTCGCTCTGGTAGTCAACTCCTAGAGATGTTCAATATCGGCCAACAGCAGATCTTCAGACCGAATGAGGAAGAAGAAGATGAGAATGAAATTTCATCTGTGGCTTCTGCCAACTTCCAACCCAAAGCTGAGGGACAGGGTGGAAATGGAATGCTTGCAGGAGAGCTGCGTCAGCTACAGTCAGGGGACGGGGTTAAAGAAGAGGTCTTAGTGTTACCAAAACATTCCCCTATTCAGTCATGTGCCTACTCCTCTTCGCAGGTTGCCCCCGCGACACCCACGGATCCCGAGGATGCAACGCAGTTTGGTTTCGGGCCGTTTGAGCTGCCTCCTCAATGGCTGCCTGAAACCAGGAACAGTAAGAAAAGACTCCTTCCTCCGTTGGGTAACACACCGGAGGAGCTGATCCAGACCAAGCAGCCTAGAGTTCGACCCGAGAGACGCATCAGTAGAAACAATAAAGTTAGTACCTTCCCTAATGTGGACCCCTAAAACACAGTGCCATGGACCAAATCATTAAAAGCCAAGAAAAAAGACTGTCTGTTTTATATCTAAAGTTATTTTGGGATCATTTTCTATGTGAGTGCAGAACAATGAAGGAGAGAACTCATGGAGAGTTTACGTTTACAGTATGAAGTAGGTAGAGTTTTCATGCTCTCTTGCTGTCTGTTTGGGCGATTTAATAGACATTCGTTCATCTCCATGAACTGACAGAACCGGAAATTGATCTTTCACAGGAAATGCAAGAAACACCATATGGTAGGCATGGATTGTTTGATATTTGTTTTGTTGGAATGGTGAATAAAATGAATAACAATCATTTTTATTTAGATATGTCCATGCTGTGTTGAATGTGACTAATGTGTCCTGCTCAACTTGTTGAAGCATCACCCCACTGCCCACATTTTATTGGAGAGGCCCTACTGTTTTATTTAGCAGCATAATCTATTTCAAATAGCTAGAAACGAGTTTACTCACAATTGAAGCATATAAATGAACTTTTATGTGCACTACCATTAATGCTATTAAAATGCTGCCGTGACCACATGCTGGTAATGGAAAACCAATTTGGGTTTAATGCACAAACACCCAATAATGCTGTTGGCATTTCTTAGAGAAAGATGATTTATTATTGACAAAAAAAATGGCGAAGAAACGTTTAATCCCATGCTCTGATTCTACATATTACCTTTAAGAACAAATCACAGCCCTCGTCTGTGGTCAGCTATTATCAAGATTTGCAAATGTAGATGGGAAACAGAAAGCATTTTAATATGCAACTATGAATTATTTAATCAGTTCGTCTGGAGGAATATGGCTTTCCTTTTAGAGAACAGGAGAGTATGGGGTGAAACACAATGAGAAGACATCCTCTGCTTAGAGGTCTGTTGACAGTAAAGTGTTGTTTGGAACAATATAGTTTAATCATACTGCATAAGCATTGTGACTCACAGGCTTTCATTTAATTATACCTTTTCTTCAAAAGCCAGGCCATTCTCAGGCTAATTACATGTGTATTTGTATTTCTTACATAATCAGTTATTTGGAAGAAATCCTTTCTCTTCCAATTGTATATGTCCAGCTATATTCAAAATAAACATTGGGTCGGTAAAAACCTATCATTTAAATACTCAAATTCTAGCAAAACAATGCATAAAGGAACATTGTTTTGACACTGAAATGTTCAGAAAATCTGTAAAGACTATTTCTTGGCAGTGGTTCATTAAATCTGTTTTACTGAGTGACCAGTTCCTCATTCATTGACCCGTATTTTTTTTAAAGCATGTCTCATTAAACGCATTTCATAAAAAAAGAAACATTGTTTCTCTGAGTTAATCGCTTTTTGTGGCAAAGGCAAAGCTAAAGATTAGGCACTTGCATGTGACTGAGATGGAAAAAAAGGGCAGCGTGTTTCCCCCATATGCCAGTTTTGATGTCATTAATTAAAATGTCTTGATGTATTTTGAAGATTTAATGTGTTATCCAAATCCAGTTACCCGCTAGCTTGGATTTCTAATATAACTACACCACAACGGGTATGTGAAAATAACATAATTGTGCTCCACCAGAATGGTTGAATGTATAAAAAAGGTCAAGTGAAAGTGTTGTTTTGAAATACAGTGATTGTCATCCATTTACTTGGCACTTTTAAAACATTTAAAAAAATAATAATAATGCCATTTTCATGATTTCCAAAGCATTAGTTAAATTGTCTGATGGACATTTCTCTCAAATTTAGCTAAACTAAATGCCTACAAATTGGAGGCAAGGGTTTATTTAATTAGAGTTGCTTAGCAACTGATAACCCACCTTGTGCCATGCAATGTTTGACTCAATTAGACAACAGTTTCCTGGCTTTTTGTTGCGTTATTCCAATTGCGTTCATTAAACATCTTAAATAATTGTCTCTGATGTCAACCTTGATATTAAATCTGTACAGGTCCTCATAGGCTGATCATATTCTTTTCTTCTTCTATTGAGTAAGCATAAAGCAACTTCAAACTTTAGAAAGCCTCTTTTTGAATGTGTTATTGGGTATGTTTAATAATTTTTGTATGTTTCCGTTATTACTTGTAGACTTAATTTTACATAATAGTAATATTAATAATGCTACTTCTAATAATAAATTCAACTTATTTGAAATTAAGTCTGTACGTCTTACGTCAATACTAATAGCTGATTACAGAAAATCAGTTTATGCAGTTATTTAAAAATGATTTATGTGCTTATGAATATTAGAAAGCTGATATCTAGTTATATCATATCAGATGTGCTGTTAGAATCATATCTTATCAAAGTCAAAACTCCGTCACAGATTCTTTGCGTTTGAGTGCTCCTGGCAGAGTTATTAATAGCACATTGACCAGCTGGGGCCTTTGGCCTGAGGATGTGAGCCTCTTTCAAGAGAATTGGCCACATGATAGAGGCTCACGGCTACAGACTCCTAGACAAGTGTCTTCTCGGAGTAAACGCAGCCCATCTGAATTCTGCCTGCCCACCAGGATCTTGCTGCATGATCTGCTCTGCCTTGAAGGCAATGACAGGAAGCATCATCATTACATCTCAAGTATCTGGATTCAGAGACACTGCTGGCAAAAGGACTCTCAGCAAAACCAGCACATAAAATGAAGATACAATGCATTTGGGCTTGAACTAACCTATCCTTTGAACAACATATTGAAGAATGCTGGTGAATTCCATTGATATATCTCATCAGCAATATTTACAGGGTCAAGCATAAAACATTTCATCTCTATTATGCAACTGCATATGGCTAGACAGGAACTTAACACACTGTTTTATTGGTTTGCTCTCATCCTGTCTGGGAAAAACACAAGGGAATACGATCCATATGTGTCTCATCCTCATAATTCACCTCAGTGTATGGACACTGGATCACTACCAATGAAAGCCTTTCTCCTCAAAGTAGAGCCAGAGTACAGTATATCCACTGCATACAAATTTCCATGAAGTAAAAATGCACTAAATTGGAAATGGTTGCTGGGAAGAATGAAGCCCGCTGAGATCCTTAGCCAAAAACATAGGCAATGTTCTTCTTGCGATTATGGTGTTTTGAAAAATGACTGTCCTCTTAAAAAGATTCGTCAGCCAGTGACGGCTGTTAAGTAAACACTATTATCCAGTGTGAATGGGTGACCCAGGACCGCTCTGTAGATTACATTTACAGAGGCAGCCTCTCTTTGAGTCATAAATCAAAGAGGGCTTGAGATGCTAGACCACATACAGCTGCTTGAGAAATACATCAGGCATTCAACAACATCATTCACCAGAAACAACATAATGCTTTTGCTTTATGACATTTGATGCAACGTTTTTTATATCATACAAAGCCCTAGTGAAAAAAAAACCTATACCAAAATGTATTTAAAATATCTTTATTTCATACTAAGTACTACACATCCATTAACATATTTACTGACATTACTGATATAAAAATTATAATAAAACTTTATTTGGAGTACTTCTTTTTTGCACATTGCACATTTCTTAATATTAAGCCAAACATGTGTTTTAACATCACTATTAGTATAGTATGATCTCTGTGTAATATCAGTTTTTAAATGCAAGATATGTGAAGTGTTCTTGGGACGAGACGTTAAAACCAATAACACATTGGTGGTGGTTGAGGAGATTTCCCCCTTCTATGTAAAGCGATTAGAGTGCCAACAGAAGCATAAAAAAAGTAATATCTTTAGTTGGACATCAGTACTATTTCTGGACAACTAAAGTCATTAAGGATAAAAATGGGTAAAAAAAAAGGGTAAAAAAAATGCCTTCTGAAGTGAAGCGATGCGTTTGTGTAAGAAAAAATATCTATATTTAAAACGTTATAAAGTAAAATAACTAGCTTCCGGCAGACGGCTGTACGCATCGATTTACGGCGAAGGAGTAACCCTTGAACTTGACGCACAACGTAATGACGAAGGCAGAAGCACAGAGGATGGAGCAAAACAAAACCCCAGTCACAAATTTGAAGTCTAAAATGAGAATTTTTAAAGAGAAATGTCGGAGCTTGTGTTTTTTGCCCCGCGAGAGGCGTCAAAGCTTACGCTACTCCTACATCCTACGTCACACATCGTCAAGTGATACTCTTTTGGCGTAAGTCGACTTGCGTAGGCCGTCTGCCGGAAGCTAGTTATTTTAGTCGATACAGTTTTAAATATGGATATTTTTCTTACACGAACGCATCGCTTCACTTCAGAAGGCCTTTATTGACCCCCCGGAGCCGCGTGGAGCACTTTAATCATGGATGGATGCACTTTGATCGACTTTAACAAATATACAGCCGATCACTGCCATTATAAAGCTTGGAAGAGCCAGGGCATTTTTTTTAATATAACTCCGATTGTATTTGTCTGAATCTCTGAAATAAGAATGTCATATATAGGACGACTTGAGGGTGACTAAATCATGGGCTAATAATAATAATAATAATTATTATTATTTTGCATATATAAAATAGATAATTCTGTCATCTTTAATGTAACACATTAAGATTTAGTGCATTTTCAGAAGAGCAAGGTTGATTGATTGTAGTTTTCGCTCAATTGATTTCAATTGATTGAATTTGGATACACACATCTGATTTTATCAGGCCTAGCTGAGAATTTGGCTCTTGGCTCTACACTGATAAAAAAAAATAAAAAAAAATCTTAGCCTGTAATGTAATTCGTCTGTAACATATCCACTGCTGTCAGCTGTCACACAGTACTTCCATTTACTTGCGTTAGATGGCAGTGTAACTTAAGGAAATTTGGGCTTAGGAAAAGAAAAAGTATTTGGTTAGGCTGACATTATGTTGTGAAATTAATTAGTATGCCCTAGATCAATGTGTGTAATCTACATGCTTAAGGCACCCACACAATCCATAACAGATCAAATATAAACAGCTCACACCAATGAATAACACAGCAGTTTCTAATCAAACTAATTCTGAATGGACATGGTAATACCTTTTCTCATTTCAGAGCTGAATAAAATAGTTGTCTTCAGTCAAAAATCTTTATCAAGATTAAGAAAACATGTTTCTGAAGCTGAAACATGTAAGTTAAATGTAATACATTTTAACAATATGAATTAACAATTATATAACAACACTATATATATATATACACTCACCGGCCACTTTATTAGGTACACCTGTCCAACTGCTCGTTAACACTTAATTTCTAAGCAGCCAATCACATGGCGGCAACTCAGTGCATTTAGGCATGTAGACATGGTCAAGACAATCTCCTGCAATTCAAACCGAGCATCAGTATGGGGAAGAAAGTTGATTTGAGTGACTTTGAACGTGGCATGATTGTTGGTGCCAGAAGGGCTGGTCTGAGTATTTCAGAAACTGCTAATCTACTGGGATTTTCACGCACAACCATCTCTAGGG